GATGGTGGGAACTGAGGCGGGGGTGGGTGCTCCAGCCTCCAGGGGTTCTAGGGTAGTGAGGGGTTAGGGCAGTGAGGGTTACAAGGGTATTTTGGACATTTCCTTCTTAAAATCAATCCTCACTGAAAATGAGAAGTAAGAAGTTTATTACCGGACGGAGGGAGTACTATTTATGAAAGAAAAAAAAATGTAAAAATGAAAATTATAATAAAACTAAGCTAAACAACTAAAAATTAAACTCTAAAAATATTAAAAATGCCTAAAAAAGAATAAAAAGAACCAAACCAAACTCAACTTATCAAACTACCCTGTCTGGATCGATCATATGGCTTGGATCGATCCTCTGGGAGTAGTTTTTCACATCATGGATCGATCTAGAGGGCTGGATCGATCCCCCGAAGTTCTGATCCGAAAATTTGCCCGAAATTGCTATTTTTGAGATCTAAAATCCTATTTTTGATACCAATTGATTATGATTATTTTAAGGATGATTCTTTACAATAAAAATGATGTTTTTAACAAATAAAAATGTTATGTGATGCATGACGGTAAGTTCGGGTGTTAACACTCGACACTAGACCGCTATTTGTTATCAATTATTATGTTGATTGATGATTATGATGAATGATTATTATGGATGATTATGAATGATGAACTTACTGATTAAAATGATCATTGATGATTGAACCATGAGTAAAATGAATATATTAATAATTATTAAACGATTGATTGAACCACGTGATTTTTTTAATTTTTAAGTTCTATTTTATATTCTGATACCAATTTTTAAATAAAATGGTATCAAAAGACACCTAGTTTGTCTTGTAAAAGCCATATTGTAATCAAATATGAGGCGGAGAATGCATAAGAGTTTATATAGCAACACAAATGTTATGGATTGGTAAATTTATACCCTCTGTCCCTTAAGATTGCCACAATTTGATTTTTTTTTTGTCAAATTGTGACATACTTTGACCGTAAATGATAGAAAACGTATATTTATTTGTAATGTAAATTTAGCAAAATTGAGTTTATTATAAGATATAGTTTTGAAATATTAAATTTTTATAGTACTTAATCATTTTACACTATATTTAATTCATGGTCAAAGTATGTCACAACTTGACCAAAAATGTCAAACTGTGGTAACCAAAAATGTCAAGCTGTGGTAATTTTTTAGGAACGGAGGGAATATTATGGTATATGGAGCACGTACTATTGTTTCTAAAAATCGAAGGGATATATAATCTTTCTTTTTTAGAAAGTATGGAATATAGATAATTTGAAATGGAAATAAATTGATTCCCTCGTCCAAAAAAATGTTCTCATTTTGACCTTTAGAAATTTTAAGGAATGGTTATTTTTGTGTAGATTTTTCAAAATATCCTTATTGCGATGAGTAAAAATATGATGTAATGTGTAAATTAATAGTAAAAAAGTATGATATTGTAAATAGATTAAGGATTAATATTCAAGATTCTAAATTTTGTGGGAGGAGTAAAAAAGAAAGAGAGAAATTTTTTGGAATGGTGAAGTAGTATATTAGGAATATATGTTGACCAGTCATGGTTATGCATTTAAGTGCATTAAGTATTCAAGTCCGAAGATTACATGCACTTTATGCCAACGATCACATATTTGCCAACCATAAATAGAATGCAAAATCTCACTCAAACATCACAATTGATTGAAAGAAAAAACCAATCACACAATATGGCCTTTTATCACAATCTAGCAACAATCTTGTTTGGCATCCTTCTTATACCCCTCATCTTCTTCACCAACGTGCACGGAGATGTGATAGACGACGTGTGCGCGAAGGCGCTACGCCCTCCCTTGTGCCAGAAAGTCCTAAGGGGGGACCCGCGCTCGAAGAACGCGGATCTCAAAACCCTAGGGTCCATCGCGATCGACATCACCACAAAACAAGCCAAGTCGGGACAGAGCCTTGTTCAGTCCCTACTGAAGAAGGCCACTGACCCCAAACAGAAGTCCGCGCTCTCCACGTGCGTGGAGAACTACGGGGACTCCATCGACAATCTCGGGGAGTGCCCGGGTCTGTTGAGGTCAGGGGACTACGGAGGGGTGAACATCAAAGCGTCTGCCGCTTTTGATGATTTCGAGACTTGCAATGACGGGTTTTCTGATCTCTCCATACCCGAGCCTCCCAAACTCAAGGATTCGAGTTCTATGTCGCAGGGTGTTTGTGATATTATTTTGGTTATTAGCAATCTTTTGAAGACGGTTGCAGCATGAGATATTACTATATTAGATATATATGTGCCATCCAATTAATTAAGTTCGATTATTATTATTATTATTATTATTATTATTATTATTATTATTATTATTATTTGGATTTAGTTTTTAGAGAAGGCAAAAGCGTTGTTGTCTCGTAGGAGTGTAATCTTAAATAAAAATTTGCAACTTCATTTAATTGTTTTATTAGCCGTAGTCTCAATTATTCTTATAAATTCTTTTATATATATATATATATATATATATATATATATATATATATATATATATATATATATATATATATATATATATATATATA